ACTGGAAAATGACAATTTATTGTCACATGCAATTTATCTTTCTGGGGAGGTGGTAAGAGAGGGCTGTCTGGATATTTTTCTTATTTATTGCTGTGGAATCTATATAATAGGAATATTCACTTTCTTGTATGCACTGCGTTTTCCCCATCTGTTTAAATTTCTAGTTACACTACTATTTAAAACAACATAACACTTTCCTATACTTCAGATCTTACCAAAGTAAATTTTATCACAGATATTCTTAGACAATCCTCTTTGTCATATCCCCAAGACTGTAATAAGGATTTTTTATTCCACCAGTCTCCCTGATTTTTATTTCTGACTTTAGTCATCTATTCATTTTGTTGTGAAACTGATCTCTTCCCTGAATGCGAACTAACTAGTAAACTGATTCCTTTAAATACATTGGAAGAACCCCTTATATAGCAACTAGACTTAACTAATAACGAAAAGTTCTTCTGTGCAAGCAAGGGAAAGACGCAGAAGGCACAGCTCCAGTGGCTCAAGGAAAACAGAAATGTGGTGATGACCAGGCTGAGGCATGGGAGTCCCCATGACAAATGGCTCATGATGTTTTACCTTGTCCTCTCTGTTCATAAATAACAGTGGGAAGGAAACAACTTCTCAATATTATGACCATTTGCTCCAGATGTTTTCTTATTTTGTTGAATCCTGTTAACATTTTCAAGAATGCAGATCCTCAGCTAATGTCCTGCAATAAATGTATTGAGTATTTTTTGTGAAAAATGCAGATTTTATTCTTTTTAAATTTTTTTCTACGTTTTTTATTGTAAAAATACTGTACAGAGGGGTTACAGTTACATGAGCAAGGTATCCAGCATTGTTGCCTCCTCCTTTGTTTTTCCCCTACCATCCCTTCCTTCCCACCTCCACAACTACCCCCCCCCCACAAAGTTGTAAAGTTCGTTTTCAACATAGTGTTTTGTACATCTCATTGTTACAATGGGTCAACCTTTATCCCTATTTAAGTATTTTGCTTTTCCCCTTCCCCTCCCCAAATTAGAGAAGTGTATAGACAAGATGCAGGGCACCAACATCAAATACAGTGAAAACAGTAGTTATACCGTGGGGGAGGAACAAATAAAACAAAAAAAATCACATGGTACATTATATATACATGTTAGAAACAATAGCAAGCAAGAACAAAATATTTGTGTCCCTATCCTGGGGTTCATTTCGCTTAACATCATCTTATCTGTTCATATGTACATAGCTTTTGACCTTTTCTACTTGTCCTACACATGTACTAGTTATTGCAAATAAGGGAAACCATGGGACCTAAGTTTCTTTAGGCCTGGCTTGCTTCACTTAATTTTTTCCTAAGTCTTTCCATTTCCTAACAAATGGGGCGATGTCATTCTTTCTGATGGAGGCATCGAATTCCATTGTATATACATACCACATTTTCTTGATCCATTCATCTACTTTTTTTTTTTTGGTCGGTCATGGAATTTGAACTCTGGGCCTGGGCACTGTCTCTCAGCCCTTCAGCTCAAGGCTAGAGCTCTACCACTAGAGCCACAGCGCCACTGACGGTTTTCTGGTGATTAATTGAAGATAAGGATCTCATGGACTTTCCTGCCTGGGCTGGCTTTGAACCGCGATCCTCAGATCTCAGCCTCCTGAGTAGCTAGGATTACAGGTGTGAGCCACCGGTGCCCAACTTGTAATGAGTATTTTGTTGACTGAGTGAGATTAGAAAAGTTCGAGCCCGTGGGGCAGCGTGCACTACACCGACTGATGAGATCAAGGGAGATGAGAAGAGAAATGTAGGCAAAAAGCCCACTGCGGAAGGCTCTGCTGACAGCGGGGCGGGTGTAGGTACGAGGCATCGTGACCACGCCCGCCGGCATCCAACCTGCCACTGGGCGGTCTCCAGCCCCCTTCCCTCCGCTGCAGCAGTGCCGGGATCGCCTCTCTTTCCAGCTGGCAGCAGGGTGACCGAGTTCAGGAAAGCGCCTCTGGAGACGGTTCTAAGGGTTGGCCCTAAATCCTGGTTTAGAGTCGTCGGTGCGGGACGGGGAACCAGAAGAGCCCGTCCCCCGACCCCACGGCGGCCCGGGAACTCCCGGAGCACCTCCGTCCCGGGTCCCAGCGCTCCCGCCGAGGTGCGGCTCTCTCTCCCCACGCCCGCAGCCCGCACCCCGCGCAGCCCGCGCACCGCTAACCGCTCGTTTGAGTTTCCTTTCCTGGGCACCATCATCTTGACCTCACACCGCGGCGTGAGCGTGGTCCCCACACGCACACCCGTCACCTTCCTCTTGGGAAAAAGCAAAGGATCTGGTCTAGTCGGGCGGACCTAATCCCCGAATCCGCCCCGAAGGAAGCTCCACGCGGCAGATTCGATCTCAACGAGGCTTGGCACCACGCTTTCGGCTCCCCGGCCCGGGACAACCACCTCTGCCCACCTCCAACTCAGGGAATGCACCCGCGGGGCCGGAGCGGCCTCCGCCCTCCCACAGCCCAGCGGGACGGGGCAGAAAGTCCCGGGGCTGTCCTCGGGGGCGCAGGCCGCGCGCTGCCCCGGCGGCGGAAGGAGGGCGAGGGGCACCCAGGGGACAGAGGGCGCGGAGGAAGCGCCCA